TTCTCTTCAAGTTGAGTGGGTAAACAAAAACTCATATACATGCAAGTTTAATATGAGCACATTTTGTTCTTTCAAATGTTGCTCTGTTGCAATACCAATTTCAATGGCAGTCGACTACAAATTCTCCATCAAAAATGTATGCAAACTTTGCAATTTATCGATTAGATGTGCTTTTCGAAAGTTATGCAAATGTTTGATTGACAATTAGGTTGACAACATTGTTAGGCAAATTGACACAAATTGCGTTATGAACAATGTTGCCATAGTTTCTGCATTATAATGTTGGGCAAAGGCCCTTCCACTTTTCACAACTGCCCGTTTAATTAGTTAAAAGTCCATTTAGACATAAACTGTTTAACGACGAATATTGCTAATTGCTGCTTGTTCGGACAGGTGCGTATGTAGGTGAGTCAGCAGCAGCAGCAACGGCAACAGCAGCAGCAGCCGCAATAGGGTTATTCTCAAAGCACTGCACGTCAACTTCGTTCTAGTCATTATTTACATTCGATTGAAAGTTAAGCGTGCAAACAGTTCAGCACAGAGCAAACTCTATCGTTGTGTAGATGGGATACTGGTTACGAATAAATACTATATATAGTGCGCTCTGAATTTGTATCTGTGTGGCAGCTCTCCCATATATACATATATGTATATATTCCGAGTACTTTTCATATCCTTTACGTGGCACGTAAATTTTTCGTCAGCCAAATAAAGGATAAAGTTTGGCACTGCCGCGCATTACCCCTACCATCTGTGCACCCTTTTCAAAAGTGGATTATGCATCGATGTATATACATACATCGCATCCATATATATAAATATGGTATACACATAGGTTTACCCATATCTGACTCGTGAAAAGTTTCGCTTGTGCGTGTTCTGCTAATGAGTCCCACATTAATATCCATTTAGCACCTGGTAACTGTGTAATGAAATAGAAAGACACCTACTATTTATATAAGCATATAATCATTCCCTCAATCCCCAGCTATAGTTCGTGATTATTCCAATAAACTATTGCGTGGCAAGCTAAGCTTCTTATGTGCGGATAGCCCTAGCCTGGCTTTAACAAATTTAATATTAAACTAAACATTAACTAAATCAACTTCAAGTGTGCTATAGTAAATTAAGCTAGATATATTTATTATTCCCAAAACATGATGGTAGCAAATTTATTGTACTTTATATTTTCAGCCCAAGAATATTTACTGCTTACATTTATTTATATCCTTATCTAGTATGACATTGACAGCAAAAA